ATATATATATATATATATATATATATATATATATTCAGATAACCAATTAGGAAAAATAAAAATCCAAAAGCAAAAGCGCTTACCACATATGAGTTTTAATACCAAATCCAAGAGTAACTACAGGATATCCAATACAATGCGCAGCAAATGGTCGGCAGAGTACCGAACCAAATGTTGCTGAATGTGCAAAAGCAGTTGTAATCGCAGCACCAAAACCACCCAATAAGCTTGAAGCTGCGGAACTTTGCTCCTTAGCAGAATACTGGCAATCGGATAAAGACGTTACCCCTCGGTAGCAAATTGGTGGAGAAGATGAAGAATCTCTCAAACCTAACAAACTAGACAACAACCCACCTGGAAATAAATATAACAATGAACTAAAGAAAAAAACAAAAAATAAGGCGAAAAATATTTTCATGTTAGCACCGACACACTTGAAAGCATAAAGTGAATATCAAACACTTGAATAATTACTCCCTAACCAAAAGTGGGCTTGACAGTCGCAGAAAAGATAGTCCTCCAGAAAACAATTAAAACTTTAACAACGAAGAAAATGAAGTAAAATTTGAACCTGTCAAAAAATTGATAATTGAACCAAATGAAGATTCTAAAAATAGGTGTACAGGAGAATCACCTCGATACCTCCAATTATATTCGAAGGAAATTAAAACTATCCAAAGAAACAGTTGAGCTGGACCAAACCCACGCTCTCCTACAATATCCATTGCTTAACAGAAAAAAAATCAAGCTATTAAATTTCATAATTCAGAAAAAAATCCAGTTTCTTTAAAAAAAAACAAATTAGACGCACCTGTTTGCCAAGCAAAATGTATCCAAATATAGCTGCTAGCTAAAAACAAAAGTATTTGAACCGGCAACAAAACAAAGAATATAAGGTCTGACGCCAACGTTGCGCATATAAAAATTACAGAGAAAGCCTGAAAATAGAGAGATGAAAAAGCGAGTATACCACGTTTCTCAAATGATTACGCAACAAATTAACTAAGATTTGATGAAAAATTCACTGTTACATTTACCTATTTCTTAAATCTGTAATGAAAAAACTACGGGTACAAATAGTGATGAACAGCAGAATAAAAAAAACCAATATCCCATTTGTGTAACTGTTACTTTAACATGTCTCTAACTCCCCCTATAGGCGGTGTTCAGAAAATAAAAAGAAAAAGAGACGAGAAAAAAAGGAATGATGTCATTGTCAAAGAAGGACGAACCCATCACTGGACAGAATCAGACAAACGTTTAGTTTGAACTATTCAGAGTAAAGTTAAGAGTCAGCCAGTTACGCAATGAGCGTCCGGACAAGATAAGGGACGACTTCGTAAATTTAGGCTTCTAAAACGCACTGCTAGGAAGAAACATCTCACTCTTTAGAGGATTAACAGGAATTTGCCCCCCAAGCAGTGGCAAATAAATAAAAAATGAGCGCAGAATTTAAGACTCGCGAAAGTATACATTAGTTAAAACTCTATTACCTGAGCGAGAGAATAGCATTTGGAAATGGGTTTAAATTTAACTTGAAATGTGGTAAAAGGAGGGTGTATGTAAAGTGCGGAGCAGACAGGCAATCTCGTTCTAAAAATACACTAAGAACTGCCGGGCACTGCCGAGACACAAAAATTTTTCGGAGTCCCACAGAAATGGATCCTACACCATAATAATGATTTGAAACATCTTTAGTTTCACCAAAATTTAGTTGTAAAATTAAAAAATAAAATCAAAGTTAAAGCGGGCTAAGCGGCGCTATCGAAGTTCTTACTTAAATTCTATAAGACTACTACGAAAGAGCATAAATGCGAACAAGAAAGAACAAAAAAAAAAAAAAACGAACAAAATTGTAAATTCAGTAGGGGTAAATAAAAAGGGCCGGAGTATCAGTCAGGTGTAGGTGTTCAGCAGCCTAGATCCAAAAAAAGTTATCGCAAATGAAAGACCAGAAGAGCCAAGCTACAAAGTTAACCGGAAACGTACTCCAACTCTTTTGAGGTTGTCTCGTCTGGCTTTTAAAACTTAAGTACACCTTAAACCTGAAACCTCATACTACATCTGTTATGCTCATTCGACGTTCAACACTCAATTATTCAAGCAGCTTATGCAGAAGAAAAAATTTAATTTTGACGGTTTTTAATAGAACAATTGTCCCGCCATTCCTCTAACCATGTAATCACAAAAAATTAGAAAGTCTGCTGTTCATAAGAATAAGAAAGTGAGCAAAGTCAATAAATGAGGATTTCAGTCATTAGTTGTATTGTTTTGCCTTTCATTTCATTTGTTTTATCGAAATTCTGCCACTGGAGACTCCAACGCTTTTCACTCATGACGAATATACCTTTAAGCGCTCTGTCAACGCGCTAACTACACATAACTTCGTAATATAAAACAAAACCAAGTCAACCAAATCCTTGAAGCTAAAGAACTTGCAAAAAGAGTGCTCATCAGAATCCATTTAACTTACAGAATAGTGAAGTGAGCTGATAAGACCCTGCAGGCGAAACGAATCATAACAATTTCCGATTGAGAGCCATACTGGGTACAGCAGTTCAAAACGGAAGCCAATAAGAAGATCTAGAGCGATACACACCAACCAAATCAGAATAAATTTCAAATAAGCAAATCCACCAAGGTACCTGAAAGTTGAGCAGCTAAATTTTAGTATAATGGAAAATGCAACTAGATCAATGAAGCTTTGAACAAAAAGCTATTCTGGCTTTTAAAACAACAATAAGAGTCAGACTGCCGTTATATATCAAAGACAGACGTAAATATTAATTAAAGCTTCCTAATGGTATCACTGACGCTAAATTAAATGCAAAGTAAACGAAAAAAGAATCGGAAAAAACTGTTCCAGTTTCCCGAAAAAGCCACAACTTTTTCAATTATCAGAAATAGACATTTGCAGCAGCGACGCCATCGATCAGAAAAACAATGAGTGGGGAGCATTAACACAAGGCTACAATGAGGGATAAGGGACTCTTAAAGTACCTATCACAGTCGTAGGGCAACCGCGAAAACAAAGCAGGGACTAACGCTTAAAAACCAGTGTGCGAAAGAAATAAATATTCCTGAAGCTAAGGCAACAGTTACAAGTAAAAAAAATCACTCAATGATCCTAAAAACTAACGTTATTTAAAGCAAAAACGAAACGTCAAAAGTTTACATAGAACTCATAAGACTAGTATAATTAGTACGTTTACAGAAGAAATACAAAATTTCATTTGGAAAATGCTATGAAAATCCAAACTGTTATTTTTAATGCAGAGCCCTAATGCTTTTGCCACCCCAACCCTCTCTAAACTGCGCGTAATCTGATATAAATCCTTTTGATATATCCTTTTGATTACTAAATTCCTTTTATAAAGCAAATATAATGCAGTACAGAATTTAAGCAGAATGAAAATGTCAGATAACCATAACTTTTACTTTTCAATCACTTCAATAAAGACAGTTTTTTTACTTAAAAATTTGAACGATTAACTTGGAAAAAAAAGTGCCTTAAACACCAAACCAGTAAGTTTCTAAAAAAAATGAAGTTAATAAACACTAACAACTCCCCAGATAAAAAAACTAATCCTGTTAATGTATGAATTAAAACTTTAAACCTGAAAAAAAAAAATAAAGACCAACCCACAACACATTGTGTCGGCAAGTCTGTTGCGGTTTTTCAAATTTCTGCGCAATTTCGGTACATCAACCGGTCGTGCCACTCGTTTCATCATATTTGAGACCAATAAATACAGATTTCCAAATAATTTAGCTAGAAGATGTCACCATAAACCCCAAATAATAGAAAAATAAAAGAATCGATAAGCTGCAAAAAACTTCATCCGACATTTACTAACCGAAAGAAGAAATAAATGTAAGGAAAAAAGGGAAGAAAACCAATCCAAGTGAACTGGTTCAATAGAATTAACACAAGTAGTTCTGGAAAAGTTCGAAATGCTGTTGAACATAACAAATAAAAAAGTTGGAAAATAAAAAATAAAAAAAAAACAAAAGACTGAGCTTAATTATTATAAACCCAAATATTATTGAGCCAATCTTGGTATTTCAACAAACTTCGATTAAGCTACGCATGCACTATATCCCGTCGGTTTTTAATGATGTTCCAACTCAATCAATACTTCACTAAAGTAAAATATAAGTAGCAAAACATAACAAATCAGAAACGTATTTGACAGCTCAAATATGGCACTAAAAATATACAAATTTAAAAATATAAATCATTCAGATGTCGCTAACTTTGTTTCAGGTACCCAAAAATTTCTTCCAACTGCCCCTCTGCAAAAAAATCACGGTCTCCTGAGATGTTCAATAAACTTTCTTCCTTCCCAGCTTCTCTTTCCTTTTTTTTTTCACTTTTTCAACGCATACACCCAGTAGCACCAAACCTAGGACGTTACGTATACTGCCTTGCCATAATTTTGTGGAATAACAGTCAAAGTAAACAAAAATAAGAACAAAAGAAGATAAATAAATAAATAAATACGATATAAAAATAATAATAATCGACTTGAACCACGTCCAAAAATACCAATATACTTTTCTTTCTATTAAAGCTGTAAGACACCAACAAACACCAGCTATGACCAGTTGCTCCCGAAAAAAACAAAATGAAAACCTACATTTCCACAGCTACAACACCAAGTCGATGATTTTTCACTAAACTCTTTCAAAAACTATTTTAGAAAACAAATCAAGCCTAAATCGCACAACAAAAAATAAATGCATTAAAATCAATGGAAAAAAATAA